GGCATAAAGTTACCTTCAAAATACTTCGAAAAGCCAGCGCACAACCAAAATGAGCCACATATCTTACTAAATCCGCAGAAATATGCCAATAAACAACACATAATAGATGAATCACACAATCTACCGAGCTGCTTCCTTCTGAGGCGAGTTTGAGCTGTTGAATGGTATAATAACGTACGGCCGCGCGGGCCTCGCCGTCCACTGTGCGTAAATATTTCCCAACTGCAAGAAGACACAAACATTAAATCTATCAGTTAAACAGTTAAGCAACGAGCAGAGCTAAATACAGCTTTCTTCATCTTGACAGGTGTTTTGGATGATGGCTTTATCATTTTAGGCTTATTTTACTGCGCGGTTTACCCCGGTACTTCTCAGTCATAAACACCCAAACTCAGTACAAAAATTGTGGCAGCTGAGCTACAAAGCAGGTAGAGGTTGGTTTAGGAGTTTTGCTCATCATTAAGGTTCTCTTGGAAACTCGGCATACGGATGACCAGCTACAATGTGTGCATTTTGACAAAATGTTACTTTCCAAACGCGATTCCAACAGATCGCCACAGCGTGCTGTCGCGGAAAGGTACTGTGAGAATAACAGGCAAAAATAAATTATATTTTTAAATCACGCTACTCCGAGAGCTCTTTGTTCCGCTCAACAAATGTTGAATGAACGAGGTGTTTCTGAAAAACTACTTAACTCCTATTATTTTTATGCATGGAGTAGCCTACGGGCGGCAGGCAAGACAACACTAAATGGACTGATTTTTCCACGGAGTCTGGCATGGAATCGCCTCCACACGGGAGAGCGCACGGCACTACGGGGCCAGTAATCAGCGCGGCACTTACTTGGTATTTGTTGTGTTCCAGTAGATGGACTCCAGGATGAGCGCCCGGCACAAGTCCACTTTGAAGGCAATAAACAAAACTCCAAAATAATATCTCCACATCGAGTCCCCCATGGTTAGCCTGCGCTCCTCCGAGTGGGTGCACAATCCTTATCAAAATAACCAAATATGTCCACAAAAAATAAATCAGAGGACAAGCGCTCCAGAAAGGGCTGCCCGCTACAATTTCTTCACCTTATATCCCGATCCAGTGAGGATGCGCACGGACCACAAACCCCGATCAAACGTACTAGAGCATCTCCAGATGAGAGACCCGCTCCAAAACACCAAAGGCGCACGGCAGTAGTTCATTCAGCAGACAGTGCGTTAATATTCTCCCCTACTCAAAACGCAGACTTCCACCCACTGTAATACATCTCCCAGAGAGAAAAAGTGGTGGTGTCCGCTGTGGACCGGGCGGCAGATGGAAATCAATACAAATATAAATCCCCCTGTGTTATAGTCCAGCAACGCACGCCAAAATCCAGAGCAGCAGCAGAGAAAAGGAGAACGAAGGCTGGTGGTGAAATGGTGATATTCTCCTTTCAGCTGAAGCTGGTGGTGAGCAACAAACTGGGGGTGACAGCAGCAGAAAAATGAGAAGGGCGAGACAATGAGGTCGGATGGTCAAAATTAAGAAAATGATCAAAAATGAGAATAAAAGAAATCAAAGGAGCTGGAATGGAAGTTCTCATACTAGAGGTCCCCAAAACAAGCGCTGCAGCTAATTCCTGCAGATCCGTCCCGAACGCCCGCAGACAGCGCAGGGATGATGCCTCAGTGCTGCTCCGAAACCTGGATGGAAAGTAACTGCAAGGGACCGCGACTGGGAATATTTGGTGGAGCTGGTTTTGCCCAGGCCCCACCCCCCGCCGACGCTGATTGGTCCCTCGGCGGGGAAGTCAATAGGAGCTCTGCTGTCAGTCAGGGAGGGCAACTGGTTCAGTAGGGTGACTAGTGGTGAGCAAAATGGGAGGAATGACAGTCATACTTTAGACAATACGCGGTGGGGGAATAACATGAAGATTAAATTTTATTTTTGTCTAATCATCACGTAATGAACGTCTCATGATATTAAATACATATTCGTCCAAAAAGAAAAAAGAAAATAACGGTGAATTCCACGACAAGTCAAATGTCGGGGTTAACACTGAAACGATGACAGCAGGTTAACTGAACAAGGAAATGAGCCTGTTTTCACGCAGAGCATTACAGCCCCAAACAACGAAGAACGTGCACTTCTCGCGCGTTATAAAATAGTTTCCGTGGATAGCCCCATAATGAAAACAACCAGACAATATTTGCTCCCATAAGGCTCATACAGAGCACTGAATGAAGCCACAGTGCTGCAAGTGTCTCTGTGCAGTGAACTGCACTTCAAGTTTTTCCGAAAGACAAGAGCGCCCACTAGCGGAAATTCCGTTTCAGAGAGAGCTGAGGAACTTCAGAAACAATCCGATTCTATTTTATTTCACATCTAAATCAAACTTGAAAATTACAGAAATTGATTTATTAATAAGAACAAATAAAATATAACATTATAGTAGTCTATTTAAAACGATTGCTTTCTGGCACAGAGACCGTTTAAAATAGAAATCTTTAAACTTTTAAGTTAAAACAGTTTTTGCATTTTCTGTTTTTCACTGGATTCTGCCCCTAACCAGCAAAATGACTCAACTATTATTTTTTACATAATTAGAGCCTGCATTGTGCTGCATAATTATAATAGGCCTATTCTCCGAACTATTAAAATATTATTTTAACATCGGCTAAGATCAAGTTCCTTCAAAGCCAAATTGAAAGGCACACATTCACACTTTCTACAAACACTGAATTTAGTCAATGGCCTCTAATTTGACGAACACACACACACACACACACACCTCTGACAGCCGAATGTAAGGTGTGAAGATCTGGCACTTTTTAACGACTTAATTCGATCAGGAGGTTTTTCAGAAGCGGCCGCTGTGGATTGTGCCTGTTTGCTTATCTGATAATAAGGCTGATATAACACCGGGCAGATAATTGAGGAGTCCGATCCCACAGCTCTCCTTTCCTGCTCTGGAGGAAATAGAAAGAGGGGCAGACTGGATGTTTATTGCGGCAGTGTGAACATTAGATTAATTGAATTCAAAGAAAAGAATAAAGGAAAGAATAAAAGGGCCTATATTAGATTAACAAGACTGACGTGTGCTGCTCCGTGCACAGGTCCCTCTCTAAATATTTAGGTGTTCCGGTTTCTTTGCTGACTGGAGACAACGGAAAAACCCTAAAATATTTTTATATGGAGCTATGTGGAATGCGTTTAATGGTCGTTTACCTCTTGATGTCAGGACTTGCAGCCTAATTTAAGTTTTTGTTTCTTCCACACGCAGATCTGTAAAATCATTAGTTTAAACGTGGCAGAAAAAAGTCCAGTTTGTAATTTTTAAAAAATATTCAGACAGCATATGTCTGTTCTTGTAGTCCTTTTAAGTGCGTCTCTGGCGGTAGCTTCAGACTACTCAACTATTGTGCAACTCTGTGCCACTATATTAGGCTATAATTCGTTGTAAAGTAATTTGGTTGTGTCCTTAAATGTATGCTTTAGTGAACACCTTTGGATGACAGCGCAGAGGAAGTTTTGAATGTCTTTATTTTTAAATCTCCTCCTTCCTGTCTCTGCCTGGCTGAAACGGTCTCTCAGCCCGCCGGCCGGGCACAGATCTGCGGAGCCAGACAAATGCGTTGTGGAATACACACACACACACACACTTAGGCTAACTGTGAATCTTTGTGCTTGACACTTGCAAACAGGATAGCGGTTTGGACTATTGTTGTTTATACAATGTTAAAAGAGTCTGGTAAGCTAAAATGGAAACCCTCCTGATGACAGACTGCTCATTTTATTCAAATAAACACAAAAGTAGGCCCGTTACAAAAAGTCTGAGAAGCTCACAAGTTGTGCTGAAAATAAATAACGAGTGATGGGCTACAACAACAATAATAATAATAATAATAATAATAGGCCTGCTCTAGTTTTTATTGTCATTATCATTATTATATGCATAATAGTTCCAAATATCAATATGCTATTTATTCAACACTTTTTTCTTTCTCTATCTTTGATCAAACTATTCCCAGCCTTACTAATATTCCTCTGTAAAATTGGTTTGTGAAAATAAAAGTTTTCGAAGTCAGCTGGATTTTTACCAAGTAAAATGCCTCCTTGTTAGAATCACAGGACCAGGCTGAAGGGAGAGGAGCTGAAACAGACCGGCAGCAGCGGGACAGAGCGCACACAGGCGGGTGGGTGTCCGGGGGACCGGGACTTCCAGCTACTCTTCACCGAAATTCTAAAGATGTAGCTGATGGACCAGTGGTGTTCCTTCTAAACCACAGACGGCTTCACGTGGAGATGTTGCCATGGGAGCTATAATTTAAAGTCACGTGAAGAGGAGTAGCTCCTCTAATTCATTATATTAATGTGTGCATCCATCACTGCTTCACTCGCACCCTCAAATGTAGCCTAGACCCGGACAACAGTTAATACTGGACTCATGACTTTAGACTGGGAGCTGCAGAGGGCCGCTGAATTCCCTGTGTAGGCTACCTCCTGAGATCTGTCATCCAGTGAACAAGAGCACGAGGCCGTGCCTGCTGATCTCGCGCTAGCACTGCAGTGATCTCAGTCTGTCACATCAGGATCCACTTGCTGGAAACGGCCGCACAAGTCTTAAAGTGGAGCTGCCAACTAATTAGGCGCTGTTATTACAGGGATTTCGTTAACCTGACGTTGATGTATTGGTTCCACACAGTTCCAGGGTAGAAAATGGATCGTAGTGTACAATAACCCGCTGATAAAAGCCAAAACGGCTCCAGGAATGCCACTCAAATTTGTCACAGACCAGGTCAAACGACTATTATTCCAAATGACTTCAGTTTGAATTAAGACCAGGCCAAAAAGCTATTTAACTTACATGTGAGCTACAACTCTCAACAAAGATGAAGTGAAGCTCAGCCTGGTAAACAGGTTCAGCTGGGTTTATTCTACACTTCCTCAAATGTTCCTGCAGTTATTTTAGTTTAACCCTTGGTATACAAATGTAATCGGTGGATCAAAAACATCACACACACATCTGTGGAGGCATTCAATGGATTTATTGATCTGTTCAGTCCCTTCACAAATGGGGAAAATTACATGACAAATTGAGAATCCCACAACATAGTCATTATACCCACCTAAGGCCAGCCGTCAGCCCCACCCACACACACACACACACACTTGTTCATTCACTCTCACATTTGCACTGCTGCTGACCTCGATCCTTATCTTACCTGAACTTGTCCATCCTCTACGAATCAAGACTTACCAAGTGAAGCGCCTTGCCAAGTTCATTAACTACAACAAAAGAACATGGACTGTGTAGTCGAGTTTCTGTACAAGTCACTGTTTTCCCCAAAGAGTCTGATAAAACAAAACTCAAGTATTTACCCATTACTGTCACTTTTCTGTTCGTGGATCAATTTCATAACACAATCTGAACTGGGGAGAGAGGGTGAGTGGGAGTCAGCAAATCACAGCAAGGCTAATAACATTACATCATACAGGAAACGTCCTCTCTCTCTCCGCTGTTACCCACAGGCCCCATTTATCGTATCGTTTACACATATCCTGTTGTAGGTTTGTGGTCCAGTCATGGGCAGCTTGGGAGTCGAGGCCGAGTTCACCTGCACCGCACAAACTTCTAATCTAACACAAGCTTTACATTTCCCCTCATGACAACATGCTGCTGTGTCATTTAGGTAAAAAAAAAAATTAAAACAAAAATTGAAAAACATATACATGGCAGACAGAGCCAAGGCAGAAAGAAAATAAGACTTACATGTTGAACACAACCTATGGGCAAAGGAAGTAATGAAGGTGGAAGACACAAACCTGTCAGCTGGACGGGAAGTTAACTGTGCAGTGATTTGTTACCATTGCCCCAGCCACTTTTGCAAATCTTATTTTAAAAAAGGAAAAACTACAGGCCAGCTCCCAAGCTGCACATAAGCTTTTACAGTAAGCTGAACTAGACAAAGTCCTACATACTTTTCTATAATAGGGTCTGCCGTTCTATTGTATTTTGCTGGCTGTGAAGACATGGAAGAAGGGCACAGGTGCACAGTTGCTTGCTGTTAAACCAGAGTTAAGACTTACAGGGCAAGGGACATGTTATATATAGCATTCTACATCAAAAGTTCAAGTTCCCTAAAAGTGAAAATAAAACAGAAAAAAAGCACAAACAAGAGTCATCTGTGCGGTTGGGATGAGGAAGGATGGAGGGAGCAGTCAGGTCCTTCAAGGGCAAAGAGCTGCCTCCTCTTCAAGGCCGGTAGGCACTACATGGCCCCTCGCAGGTACTAGCTAGTTAACACGCCGGGTTGCAGCCCTTTCCTCGGCCTTCCATCAGCACTTCCAAAATGAAGCGAGCGTTCCACAGAGGAGGAGGAGGTGGGGTCGAATGATTAGGAGGGAAAGCTGGATGGGGATGAAGGCAGGGAGTGACATGTGGATGAAGGGGGAGCAGTCTCATTCGGTGGCCTTCAGCGAGAAGGAGAGCTTGGGTCTGGACTTGCCCTTGCCGAGGATGATTTTCTGCTCTTCCTTCTGTTGCCTCTGACGGTCCTGCTCCAGCTTCATGCGCTCCTCGTGAATCTTTCTCTGCTCCTCCACAATACGCAACTGCTCCTCAGCCTGTCAGATACACAGCAAGCCACATTGCAGCAGTAACATTAGAGAACAGACACAATCCCCCTCAACCCAAGTGCCCCCAAACGGCTGGCATTCTCCCTCTCCCTGCAAGATCCAGCATTAGTCTGTTGCTTTTCTTTTTTTTGTCCAGCTGTTTACTATCGTTCCAGCTCGTTCAAATCAAGCCTGAATCAAATAAACACTGCTTTACAAATTAGTCACACTTGCGCTTATATAGCCAACAGGAAAAAACCCACTGGATTGTTAACCATGGCTGATAACCATCTATTCAAAGCCACTCAATTAAAGTGGTTCTTGGCAAGGACTGAGGTCTTCGGTCACGTTGTGGTGCAGTGAAAGACTTGAGGACTCAATCAGTGGAAGACAGACTTGTAATGAAAGACACATACGTGACATTAAAAGCACAAAAGCCAGACATGATGTGTGTCACTTTTCTTACTTCTCTAAGTTCATTTTAGTTACGGCTGGATGTGATCAAGACTAACGAAAATAATTTGTGGGATATAAATAATGCAAAACTGAGAAGTGAATCGGGAAGAAAACGACCCCATCCTGTATACAAATAGAATTGCTATTCAGGGTTTTTGACAACATCTCATTCTTGTTTTCTAGAGGATGAATAATGATGGTCAGCTCGTGTGTGATGAAGGCAGCATGTAAGAATGTTCCAGAAACAGAAAACAGAAAAGCAGCAGCTTTGCTCTTCACAGAGCAGGGCGTACCAGCTTGGCCTGAGCCTCGGCGATCTTGCGGTTATTCTCCTCCAGGATTTTTTCCAGCTCCTCCCGCTTAGATTTCTCTTCCTCCTAGACGGGTGACACGGTTCCATGTTAGCGCACGAACAGGCTACAGCCACAACACACTTTATGTACAGACATACGCACACACGCTTCACCTCTAATTGTCACACTCACTCGCGGGCACACGCACAAACTCATTACACCACAGAGAAGTTTCTTTAGCCTCTCGCACATGACCACACTGTGGAATTCTTTGTAGTCAGCCTGAATTGTTTTAAAAATACAAAGAGTGGGCAAAAAGCATAACCAAATTGTGGGGGGAAAATAAACCCGCTATTTTTCCCCTCCCTCCTTCCCTCCCTCTGCTGTTAATACCCTCCTACAAAAGTTTTAAGCTAAGCCACACCTAGGGTGCTCACTGTATTATTGTGAAAGAAGTAGAAATATAAACACAAGAATATAAAGGGGGAAACCCACTCATCACACTCATAAATAGAAGACAGATATAAATGACAGACAATACAATCTAGAAGAAAATACAATTGCTGTTTTTTTAACATCATTATAAGCAAGAGAAAAAAGGATACAAATAAAGGAGGGAATAGTTTTGGCTCACCAATGCACGTATACCTACGCATTTTCCTTGCCTGTGTACCTACACAACTGGTGAAAGCATTCGGCATTAAACGGTTGAATATTTACTGTCTCGTCCGGACTGTGTGGCCCCTGCAGAGACAGAGAAGCGCTCCCGGGGTGGGTGGGTGGGTAGGTATGGGGGATTCTGCCATACCGCGCCGCGGCATTCCTCTTTATAACTGATCTCTGTACTGCTTAGCCTGCGCCTGCAGCCACAGCTCACATTCAATTTTTTGAGTTTTTCCTTTGCTTTACAGAGGCTCAGTCCCGAGACGATAGCAGAGTGAAGGACAGTACAGTACAAAGTGGTGTCTGTGTGTTTGAGGAGGACCGGACCACGGTACACTTACAGTACAGGACACAAGTCACGGGTGAGCTGAAAGGCTGCAGGCCAGCTCAGGGCTAGTTAGGAAGGTGGTGAGTTGTGTTTCCAAAATAAAAAACAACACAAATGTTTTTACAAATAAACATATTAAGCAGCAACCCTATAGGAGAAGCAAGTCATGAGTACAAACACAGTACATTTGTTTTTCTAGGGAGAAAAAAAACTCTTAAACTGCATAAAATAATCAATAAGAAAATATATATGTATATTAACACACAAAGATTAGACCAGTGATAGTTAACCTCGTCGAACAGGAAACAGGAAATGTAGTGGTCCATCATTATGTATCCCAGAGCAGATTCCGTCTAACAGAAGATTCTCAAAACAAGGATCGTTAAAGAGAAGATAATTGGGTGGTAAAGAAAACCTGTACAGGACAAACTGTCTGTGAATTAAACAAATGTGATTAACATTTCTACACATCAAATTTGATTTAAAATGTCAGAGTAACAGAGACAGGAAATCTCCACTCATCTGTCAGAAGCGCCTGTGAGAGACTAATCAAAGACTGGACTGGGGCCTTGCATCTAGCTGAAGCTTACTCAGCTGAATACTGTAAGGCTGACCTTTTGGTTACAGACGAGCCTCACTAGTTCTACCGGTCCCTTCGACAAACAATGTCTAGGACTGAGAATGGGAGATGTAGAAAGAGTAGAGTGGCAGTGTACAGACACAGCAGAACGCAGAAGAGGGGGGACTGAAAAAGTCCAAGTAGGTAAAGGAGGCACACTCAGAATACATTTCTCAACCCATTAGTGCTGAGCCACTAGCTTCTCCCTGAGCAAGTCAGGGTCACTACGCTTCAGCTGCCCTTCTCATTCACAATACATTATTACTGTAGTGTCAACAAAGCCCTTTTCTTAATGACACCGGGAGAGGCGGGGGGGGTGTTTGTCAGACAGCTGTCTACCACTCTCAAAAGGAAAGAAGGAAGCAAAGGAGCTTCAACTAACTTTAAAGAAGCCTGAAAAGGTTCCTTTAAGAACTGCATCATAGACACTAAGACTGCAGAGACTAGGCTTCTTTCTTTAAAAAAAAATAAAAATAAAAAAACTATGGATATGTTCAATTTGTCAAAAGACTTCATCTAAGCTAGTTCAAGAGTTTAGGAAAAGTTTTTAAATGGCCATTGATGAACAGAGATGGTGACTGTAAAACTGTGTAATCATAAAGAAGCGTTTTATTACAGACGTTAACAGAGATGCTTACAAATATGAAAGGAAAAGATCAAACTGAAACTTGAGAAAAATTATGATATGAAGTGAGTAACTTTCTGAAACCCTGCCATGGCACAACTCTCACTGGCAAGTTAGGAACTCCCTGAGACGCAAAATTAACGGTGGCAAAATTCACATTGCACCTTTAAGTCTGAAACTTAAAGCCTAAAGTGCCACTTCAGTTCCAGCAAGACTCCTGTTGTTAGAAACCCAGACTCGCGTACCTCTACCTTCTCGGTGCAGAACCTGTTACTGGTTGCAAGAAGATAAAGGATATATTTTGCGGAGCCACGATTTAAGGAGACGTGACTGCATGAAGTTGGATTTACAGTTATTTGAAATTGTTAAAAATGACCATATACATATTAACAGTTACATTAATACTTAATGCTAATTAGGAATGATGCAAAGATGATTTTTGGCATGGTTCCTCTCACTCTATATATTCTGTTTGGTACTATATGTCTTTGTATGTCGTATGCAGACACATTTATGGTAATACTCGGTCACCATTACATACATTGTTACCCTGCAGGACGGCCACTTCAGGCTCCGCACCTACCCTTCCTGCTGTGAAACTTGTACCATGGCTAGATTACGTTCGGAAAAGTAAATTGGGGGGGGGGTCCCTCAACCTCCACCATCCCATGTCCCGAAGAAAGGCACCAGTCAGAGCAGGTGACTGGGAGGGAGACGGGGACAGGGGAATAAGGGGTTGGGGAGGTATGCGGGGAAGGGTGGGGCTGCGTTCCAAACGACCGAGCGTTACCTCTCTGGCCTTCTGCGCCGCCAACTCGGCCTGCCGCTGCCTCTCTAGCTCCTCCAGCAGCTGCCGCTCCATGATGCGCTTTGCCTCCTCGACGCGCCGCAGCACCTCCCGTTCAATCTCATCCTTCCGCTTCTCCAGCTCCTCCTCCACCCGCTTGGCCACCAGCTCCTCCACTCGCCGTGCCGTTTCCTCCTCGATCAGTTTCTCCTCGATCTCCTGCTGCCGGCTGGAGGACAGAGGAATGAAAGCAGACATGCAGAGGGACCGTTTATAGGAAATTATCATAAAGCTGATCTGCTCTCATATTAAAGACACAAATATTCCACGAAACTAGACTAACAACAAAACAAGAAAGTGACTTAATCTTCAGTGACTTATTAAAAATCAGTTAGTACTATATATCCTACTAGGAATGTAGAACTACAAAGTAGTATCGGTCACCTTTCCGGCACAGCTTTATCTGCAGCTTCGTTATGTAGCTCTATCATGGCACTAAAATCACATGTGGTGTCACTGCAGTTCAAGTTTGACTTCAGTCTATAGCGAGTAATGTAGTTTTTCCACTGGCATGGCTTTGTATGTATTCCCACTGCGCCATCGCAGCAAGGCTGACCACTGCCATTATACTGCGGGTCACTGTGGTCACTGGAGTGCAAGAGCTCACAGCGAGGCCTGTAAGAGAAGGCCCCAGGACAGATTTGTCCTACAGACAAACTGATTGGTTCAATGTGTGTGTGGTCAGGCAGGAAACTTAACAGCAGAATTTTTTAAAACGTTCACCATATGAAGCTGTCAGGACTTCTGTAGCTCCTCTGCTGTGCTATCAAGAATAAAGTTTAATCTGCTGCTATGTTAAGACACAGCTAATGCACACTACTACATCACATTAAAAGTGATGTCAAACAACGTCATTATAGAAATGGGGAAAAACATGCTTTTGTGCATTAGATAACGGTCAGAGTAAATTACGCTCAGAAAATCAGACATTTACTGAGCGAACATCAGCTAGTCAGCACAAAGTATTAGCCACTGAGGTTAGCCAACTCCTGTCCAATATAAAATGATCTGCATCTAGACGAGCTGAATGAATCCTTTCTATTTGTGATGAACAGTTGATACCTAGCCTCTGCCATCAGTGTATGAATGTGTGAGAAGGATTAAATATTATCAGGCAGTGTGTTCACACTGGAAATGTCTGTATGCAACTAAGGCCCCATCCACATTACTGTTTTAGTTTACAAACGGAGAATTAAAACAAATACGATCTCAGTCCACAGCAGCGTTTTAGCTGCATATCAGAGTTGATTGTCTACATTAAAACGACTGAAAACGCACAGCTATTGGCCGTTCAGGTACATTGGGCATGTGCGTGCCAGAGTAAGCATGAAGCAGATGGTCTCTTCCGTAGTTACAGAAGATTTGGCGAAAGAATAAACAAATACTATTTTTTTCCATGGACCAATAACGAGCTGGGACTGTTACTGAATGTAACTCGGGAGTGAGGTGGCGGAAAACAGACTGGGAGTCGTCGCAAAGTAAACGGCGACATGCACAGTACAAGTGTTATTTGCACGGTACAGAATATTTTAATAAAAATACCATGTCAAAAGCCTGGTTAGCAGCATTGTGTTTCTGCTTTGCATGACTTATAAGACCCAAACAGAGAGCTGAGTGTGAGCGGCTGCGTCATCGTTTTTCTAAAGTCCTCCATTTTGGCCCGTCTTCACTAAAAGGCCCTCCGGAGTTTTGAAATGCGAAACGGGGTCGGCAGTGTTTCAGGTCTTCATTTTTGCCGTTGTAGTCTGGACGGGAGGTGCAAACGTAGCGAAAGGTCTCGGTTTTAAATCGAAAACGCAGTAGTGTGGACGGGGCCTAAATCAGCTTGACTTGTGAGTGCTGTTGATGTACACTGTCTCACAACATCCCTCAATCACATCCTCATTACAACTGCAAAACAAAAATGAAATGGAGGCTGCGACCAGAGAAAAGATAAGGAAGGTTTTTGTTTGGTTAGTCTATTTAGCTCTATCAGGTGCTTTTTGTTGAAACATTCAACTTTCCATAAAGTAGCTGGGCTCGACAATGTCACTTATCTGTTTTTTCAACAAACCAAACTTTTCAAACATTGAACTGATTGTTCTGCATACATGAATGTTACGATTATTGACTAGTTATCACTTAGCATTATCAAATTAGACTGAAGCCACCATGTAGAGCAGTTTTTCTGCACAAGCATTTAATGAATGAAAACGACCTACAAAAACGCTGTTAACTGCTGTAACTGGATTAGCTGTGGTAAGATATATCGTCTACTAATATGAAATTATAATCAATATAGTAACATTATATAATTAATATATTAATATTATACTCACAGTATATTATTAAATGAACATTAGACTTTTTTAAATATTATACAAATACACGCATTTATACTAGTTCCTCCTCCAGGTTGTGGATAGAGCCTCTGCAGTGGACTTAGCCAGAGCCAGGACAGGGATCGGGTGGTTACAGTGCGAGGGGAATGCTATGCTATGTATATGGCCCATCAATTGCAGGTAACTCTAAACTGGTTGCCGGGTCAAAACAGTTTATGCTTGAAACTACACAACAGTAAGGAACACAAAACTTGCAGGGACTTATTCATCACCTGAAACACTGAGCACCTCCACACTTCTTGTCAGTGGTCATTCATTAAATCTATCATGTGCCGGAGTGACCAACTGAGTGCTATCAGTGGCAGTTAGTCTGGAGCCCTGGGAGTGTATGTTCAAACATGCAAAACATTCATATTAATTGTTAATTAACATTGGTGTGCACCAACATACCCTATTTAAAGTAATTATTAAATCTAAGGAAAAGACAGATTTGTTCACAATTAGAGGACGATTACACTGTACCTTCAAAAATATATACTGGTACTATACTATAACAATTAGTTTATAGTAAATACATACTATACTTTTTATAGCATAGTATATACGTCCAGTAAATAATGTGGGATTGTGGGACTGAATTGTGAGATTGAATTGTGAGATTTGTCAATGTTACATGTTGAAATGGGAAATATGCTAAATAAAGATGTAACCACGGTGAGCTGGTTATATGAAGAGCTTCAGGGGACTGGTGCTTATTGCAGACTGGGAAAAGCTCTAACCTCCAACACATCCTCAGAAGTACACATCATTCTTGCATGTGTAAAACCAACGATGTTATGGCCAAATCACAGTTTGGCTGCTTTTACCACAGTCCAGGTACATCAAATGTGTGGAAAATGTACTGACTATGGGTCTGTCCCGTGCAGCAGCAGACTGAAGGGTTAATGCAGATATAGCCTAGGCCAACTGTCATCCTGTTTGCCTATTGACAATTCTTTTAAATTGTCTTTTTTTCCCCCTAACCTGCACTCTGAGCAGGAAGCTATTTGAAGGTAAGAGGTGTTTTGTCGCTTCTGGCACAACTTTTAACCCACAGCATACCCTCCATGGATTTGATTTCATTCTGTCAGCCACAGGGAAACTGGAGACCTTACCCAACTCAGGCCCAAATCCTTCCTTATCTACCAAGTCTTCGGGTCGTGATATTTGCATTTGTATGCCTGGTTAAGTGGCCCTGGGGCTATTAAGCAGTAAAAAAGAGCCACTCATGAGGCCAGGTATGGGACAGCATCTCAGATCTCAGGTGTCCACGGGCCTCTGGCAACCACACACTTTAACAATAGCAGATTCCCTGTCCAACAGAACCTGCAAGCAGACAATAAACTGCCAATGGTCATTATGAGTGGCAACCACTGAAGTGCTTCAGGACACAGCAGTGACATGTAGCTCTTATCAGTGCGTCCTAAAGCAGTCACTTCACTGCTGCAGCAGCTGAACTTAACCCCAAACACTTACAAATGCTTTAGCTAGTTGCTCAATAAATTATGTACACAATTATTAAGCTATAATTTCCAGACCACTGATTGATAAACTGACCAATGGTGTGAGCACTACCCAGCCTAGCATCATTAAGGACCAGTGACCAGTCTTGCAATCTTTTGCACTGACAATGTAATAAAGACCAGTGAGATGGAAGTAAAAGACAGAATTCCTACAATTTAAAAAGAATTGTAAAGATGATTACTTTGTTGCTTTTAGGTTTTAATAGTTGTAAACAAATTAATCACACCTTAACAACAAGTCTGTACAAGTTGTAAATAATAATTGAAGTTCGGAATTGTAATATATCCGTCATAATTAAACTAAAACTTGAAGTGCCAGCTGGAAAAGTGAGCTGGCTCCTCTTCCATGTGACAGGGATGAAGTCCTTCTCTGTACAGACAGGGCCTGTAGAGCCTAGCTGACGTTAGCATGCTCTGGCGGCTAGCTTGTTAGCATTACCTTGCTAGTGTACGGAACGGACGAAATCTATACAACTGAGTGCTAGCCTAGCATTTAGCTTAGCACATATTGCAGTCCAATACGGGTAACGTTATGTAACGTTATAGGAGAGAATTTTATTAACATATACTTACATCTTCCTTTGTCTTTCCATTTCTGCCCTTCGTTCCTCCTCCTCCTTCCTCTGCTTCTCGTCCAGGGCATTCCTCTTGCTCAGCGTCCTGCCGAAGATGTCAATGCGCTCCGGCGGCGAGGCTGCTCTTTCTCTGCGGGACGAGGCTGTGGTGGACCGGGAACGAGAACGGGACTCTCTGCGACGGTTCCTCTTTGATTCTCGGGACTTGGATCGCTTCTTGGACCTCTCCCTGTCTCTGGACCGCGACCGAGAACGGCTCCGTTTCTTACTGTGCTTGCTGCTTTTAGAGTGTTTGGACCGGGACGAGCTACGGCTCCGAGAGCGGCCCATGTTGACCACTTCTACTAATCGAGCGCTCACACCAAACTACTGTGTCTTATGGCTGCTATGTGGCCAATATCTGGAATTCCGTTCCACCCGCTCCTATTCTAACGTGTTATTTACAACAGCTGACCAAGAAGATTTGCTTCAACGGTTGTATCTTGGAGAAATAATCATTCAAAACTGATTGTTATTTTGCCTTCCTAACTCGCTGTAAAGAAAGATGGCGATGTGTCGAGTTAGTAGTTTCCCAGCAGGCTCCGCGGCTTTCGGTATTTCCCGGCGGTCTTCGGGATCGGCCAGTCAAATGTGTCCATGAAGTTAAACATCCCCAAACTTTATTTTCTCAAGAGAAATTGATTTGGAAAGTAGTCATTAAATAATGTACTGGGCAATATGAGTCTGCACCGCCTTGGGTTGGAGCAATTTGTGATAAATGTGTGCATACTTGGGGGACTAACAAGACAACAGTAAAAGATAGGCTAATTGACATTTTATCAGATTTATCAGATCAGAAGTCATGTCAAAGGTAACATTGTTTTAACAGGCAAACTGTAGCAGTAGGAACTGAAGTTACAGAATGTTGAGGAGGAGCACCAAGAGTGTTATCAGCAGACTAGCAGCTGTATTTTGGTATTGCATATTCAGCCTTCATATTAATATTGCAAGTTATCACAACATTACATTTGTCCCCTTAACTCTTATATACATTGGGTGGATTGCCCTAATGTGGGACACCTAAGTGTTTTTATGTCCCCCATAAATACATGAATGTCCAGTGAAACTGGTTAGACAAAGCTATGGTGTCATGTGATCAAAATCACATGACCTCTCAAATGTCCAGTCAAGTATGAGGGTGAGGCAATCATCAAACAGGAGGCACCTTGTGTAAAGACCACCCAATTGTCAGTGACAAGAGTTTTGACAAACTTGATATTAAGGAGTATAAATTAATTTTAAATAAAACAATCCTGCTATTTTTTGGCCTATTGTGCTTATAAAATGTTTGTCCATCAAAAAATAGTAGAACTTTGTATGTTTAAACTATATATTTTATTTCAAATTTCCAATTGTCTCACTTCAGGAAATGTGGTTTTGAAAAGTGGGACAGTATGTTTAACCTAATGTGGGACAGTTCTAAAGTACTTCAGTCACTCAAAAAAGTGTAGTGGGGCATGATTTGTGGGGAAAAAATGGTTTTACTTACGCGCTATTAGAATGCTGTACTACATGTTTAAGGTCATGGGAAATTGTTATTCTTGGGGGTGGTGGTTTGAAGGCTTTTTGTGGTTGTGTCTGTGTGTGTGTGTGTGTGTGTGTGTGTGAAGGATGATTGGTGTCTTAAAAAAATAGCTCTGAATTGAAAAACCAATAAAGCCAGTCCACTTAATTTTATGCATCTAATGATTAATTCAGTTAAATGTATTTCAGATCACAATGGCAAAGCAGAGAAAGACACGGAGAGATTTTCAGACACCGAGCAAGAAACAGAATCAGGGAAAGGATGAGAGAAAAGGCAGGATAAAAGGCATTGCTTGTGTTTGTTGTGAAGTAAAATAAACTAGAGTCAGGAATTCTGATTGTGCATTTAACTCTTTTCTATCTGCATAACATAACACAGGCCTGTTATAACAGTTGCTTAATGTCTGTCATAACTGCATCAAAACTATCATATTGTATTATTTGTTGATGTTCAGTTATCAATGTTTCATTCATCCAGAACCAAGATAATTACTAACTTAAGTAAAATTTTAATATATATATATATTATTAATATTATATTCCCACATTAGGAAGATGCTGATTTTCTTATAGCACCAATATATCTGTCATTTCTTTTATGAATGTGGTATCTGCATTTTCTCTTTTGATTTGACTAGGACATATCCTCTGGTTTTTAAAATGGTGTTGGGTGTTGATTTAATACATTGGCTTCACATCGCAATATGCCACAGAAGTCTGAAAAGCACAAAATGTCCCACATTAGGGCAATTCACCTTTTTTGTAGTGCATTCATTTCGCTTCCAGGGCACCATCTTCTTCCAGGACCTCAAGTGGGAGCTGAACATCACCTCCCTCACCAAAAATGCCCAGCAGAGGCTGTACTTCCTGCAGCAGCTGAAAAAGTTCATCCTGCAAAAGACAATGATGGTGCACTTCTACACCGCCATCAATAGGTGCGTTCATGCGGTGGTACGCAGCGCTCACTTAACATGATGCATGCTGGACTTAACATAAGGCATACTGGTTAGAAATTGTGTCCGATACATGTACGATAGTCAATGGCAAGAGACAACTAATTTTTTTATCCCGTTTGAATTGTGCTCTGAATTACACATATGATGATGGTCTATTTTAAAAAAAATATAAATTTAAAAATAAAGAAAGTCACAGTTTGATGTAAAACTGTTGAAGTATAAGACATAATTACAAAGACCACAAACCCAAAAGTCGCATATGTGACATTGTAACTTTTTCTCTCAATGACTGAAGCTAATGTTACTGAAGCTAACGCCAAAGAACTTCCATGTGTCGATGATGTGATAAAAGGACTGAGAGTCGTTGGATCAAACACATCAGGTGAGACATGTTTCTGCATAGAACATAGCTAAATTACCTAGCTAGCAGCAACCAAGCAATAACATTAGCTAGCATTACCACGTTAACATGTTGGTGACATATATAGTGCGAGACAAGAGATGTAGGTCATTGAACTATTTTCACACAAAACGACATGCAAATACGTCAAACTGTGACTTTCTTGACGGACAAAATTATTATTTTTTTAATTGACAAACATCAATATCATTAATTCAGGGCATAGTTCAAACAGGATCAAAAAATAAGTTGTCTCTCACCATTGACTACCCTACATATTTTTTCTTAAATAAGGTCCCAAGGGCCAGAAGCAGACTTGAGTGACTTACTGTACATTCAGAGCAAAAGCGAAGCGAGCGTTTGGGGCCATGAGTTTACATACAAAGACGCGTAGAGCCGCGATTTTCTGTCGGGCGGCGCAAAGCGACGCGAAGGGGGCGGTGCCGGCGTGAGTTGAAAATTTCCAACTTGAGCGAATTTGCGCGGGTTCTAATCGCCTTCTCGCGTTGTGTGTGAACACTTGCAGCGAATGTACTCACGCGAGGAAAGCGCCGTGAGAATTAAATTTGCGTTTGGTCTGAAAGCAACATTAGGCTCTCTATTGTAAATTTTTGCACATTGCTTGTTAATGGTCTGTATATTTTTTGCATTCTTTTTATTTACATTAGTATGATAGTATTATTGTATTATTTTGTATACCTGTCTTTATTTTATCTAGACAATATTTATATTTCTGTATTTATATTCTGTAAAGCACCAATATATACCAAGGCAAATTCCTCGTATGTGAAAATGTACCTGGCAAAAAATCTGATTCTGATTCATGTACAGTTGTGATGCTACACTGGACATTGTTTCAGCAATACTGGCTTTGGCTGCTACCAAGTACACATAAACCACTCTGTATCTCAGTTCAGTACAAAGTATACAGTGTCAGACCATGTATAGTGTAATCTAAATGAGCTGCTTGGGGTTTAATGCAAACATTATGATACCTGGACAGATATCCATTACATTATTGAGATTTAGACTGCTGTGTATATTAGTAAGTTTAAGTAGAAATTGTGTGAAACAATTATTTTTTCCTCCTATACCTATTGCACTAAACCCCCTTTTTTTCCTTCCACCTTAAATTTAAATACATAGCTCATGGGTCAGTGGCGCAAAATCAGTTATATATAATTTTATTTTTACTGAAGTCCGTGAGATAGCTAGATAGTAACTGTATGCCAGCCTTGTCTTCTTTAGTATTCCTCCTCTTCGGTCCAAATCAGTAACTGCTGGGAATGTTTTTGAAGTAGTCCCTCAAATGTGGCGAGTGTGTCAGAGAAGGTTCAAGATTTAATATATCCAATATTAGTATAATAAGGGATTTCAAAAGATTTTACTCAAAACACACACTAGAAGTTCAGCAAAAAGAGCTTCTTAGGCTAATCTTATTTGCCATGCAAATCATCCAAAATCATATCCAGTCCATAATATGTGTATGTACTGGATTATTTAATTTGACATCAAAATGAAGAGATAAACATGTAGAGGAAATGTGTCTTAAAATGAAAAACTGAGAGAGAGAGAGAAAGAAAAGCTCAGTTTAACTTCAACACTGCCTAAGCTGTGGAGTAAAGTTAACCTTAGAAGTGGAAACTGAAATGGTTAATTGCATGAATTGCTCTACTGCCTTTTTTGACAGTGAGCAGAGCAGAACCTTACTCTAATTTAAATTTTTGTCTCTATTTGACCTATATTTAACTTTGCCTGTGTCCATTTTTAAATTTTGTTTTCATACTCTATCAGGGGCTAAAATGATGCTTTTATCAGAGCTTGTAAATATAGTGACACGAACATCAGATAACCAACCGAAGAGGGAGAAAAAAAACCACAACTGACAATGACACAGTCCTGCACTAAAAGATTGCCATCCCACTCTGGTAAAATGAGGCCATTGTGATAACTCTCCCTGGAGTGCTACGCTCGAAATAAACTGGCATTACTATATTTAAAAACACATAACTCAAAAGCCCAGTGATTCAGCTTTAAAAAGGTCACACCACTCAAGCTAAAAATGAAAGTCCTCCAACTTAAAAAAGATTTTTTTTGTCATTTCATTTTTTCTAATTACCTGCAGATATCAGTATCTCGGAGTCTAATTTTAGTAGAAAGATATAATTTGTTCACATGGAGTCATGCTGTGTGCAGCTTCGATTGTAGATCAAGAATAGTTTTAGTTGTTGCAAACTAATAACAGTTTTCAGATGAGTCACTTTCATGTGCACACAGATGAAAAGGGCCTTTGTGTTCATCCGTGGGCCTGGATTGTCAGATTAAGTATGAGCACCACCATGCAAATACAAATTTCCACAGAATTAAAGTGAAGACAAATGATGTGATTTTAGTGCCAGAAATTGAGGGCTAGTCTAGGTTCATCCATCCAGGAACTGCCCACCCTCTCTCACTCCCTCCGTCTCTTTCTTATTCCTCTGCTCAAAGCCAAAGAATTGATTTTCTTTTCTGAACTTGTGGTTGTGTTTTATTTTAATGAGCCACAAATTCTGTTCCCAGAAGATGAGAGGAATCAGCATTAAAGAGAGATGTCTTGTTTTTTGCTTGTGTAACAGGGTTGGAGAGGTGCTTAAAGCCCCTTTTGATGAATAATAGAA